TGCCTTGAAAATCACGTTATGGAACATATGATTTACTATGTCCCATAACGTGATTTTCAAGGCAAAGACCCCATATCTTAATAACTACCTAAGCTAATTTGATGTATATACTTTTTATTTTGATTCTAGAGATCTATAGAATTGAAACAAAAAAAGTACATCAAATTTGCTTGGATAGTTATCGAGATATCTATGTTCAAAGTTTTTTTTAAAAAAATTTTACTATTGTTTTGAATTTTTGCAAGAATTTGAATGAAGAAATCTCAACTACCTAAGCAAATTTGATGTAGACATTTATAGAATTAAGAAAGTACATCGAATTCGCTTAGACAGTTGTCGAGATGTGTAACTAACAAAAAATAATTCCCTCTTAAACTCCAACCCTAAATATCTTCGTTCAAAATTTTTAAAAATTTAATCTTTTAATTTAAATTGATGAAGCTGAATATTTTGCCGCAGTTTGGGCAAGAGACCCCTTTATTGCACTAATTCGGGTCATGCACCCGATCCATCGCGTGCGTGACATTCAATCGAAATTCAATAAATGTATATGGTAAAGTGTTATAATTCCACGTTAAGTCTATAAAAAATGTATTCTACAACTTCAATTACCGATTCTAGTTTACAATCCGCAACGGTCTTCGCGAATTTCTTGTCAAAGCTGGAATATCCTAACGCTTCGGCTTTAAAACCAGAACAAATATTGTGGGCTTTTGAGAGTAAAGAAACGCGTCATTTATTTGACTGGTTATGTGAAAAAATCGACGAAAAAAATTTAATTGGTAATAACGAAGGTGGTCTGTAAGTTCAAAACGTTATGATTTGTAAGTGGTTGGGACTTTGATCTTTTAGTGCCATGTACTGCGTAAAAGGTTCTTTATATAATTATTCATTTATTTAAAAGTTTATCAACGGAGCTTGCAAAGATTAAGTAAGTTTGTTAATTGAATTCTTTTGAGCGTCTAGATTAATATAAATAAAAAAGAAATTAAATTAGTAAAAATTAACACATTAGGAAAGAGCACGAGAGCTTTGAAAATGAGATCGATATATTGCGAAAAAGGCACGATCGTGTATCTAATCACCGTGACCAGCTTAAGTGAGATAATTTTCTTATATTTAACTATTGCATTCAGGATATTGTGTTATTGAGCATGTTTATGATTTAAAATAGAATGACATTAGAGGATTTAGAAAGTCAACTCGCTGACTTAAAGAGAATCAATCGTGATTTAGACGAGCGGAATAAAGATGTTGATTCGTTGGTCCAACAGGAATCCATTAAGGTTCTTTTAATTATTAATTGTGCAATATTTTATATGAAATGATGTTAACAGTATTGCATACGTTAATTGCAGCTTGATGTTGAGACAAATGCCTTATTTATTGCATTGTCTGAAGTATTATCTGAAAGAGATACTCATGAAGGAAGTGGTTCGTTGAACCCAAATTTATATAGATTTGTCACTCTACTAGTGATTTGTTAAAAAAAAGTATATTTACTACCCTGCGTTCAACAGGAAAGACGAAAAATTTTATCTTTCAATATACAAATGATATCGAGAATATAGTAAAAGTTGACCAAGCATTCACACATGAACTTCAAAAATTCCGGGAGAGCCTATTTCCACAAGTAAGAAATTTTGAAATTTTTATTGCACGTTTGTTTTAGAATTTATTCCAATTTAAATTACTTGTTTTAAGAATGTAGATGGAATTTCCGATCAGAAAGCTTTATGTAATGAAATTAAACGTCTAAAATCTCTGTAATATTCTCTTAGAATTTATATGGTTTTTTATTGTTATATAATCTTTTTTATTCATAAGGTAACAACGTTATGCTTTTTTTATAGCTGTCCAAAAACTGAATTTAAATATATTGAAGCGATTTCCCGTCATGAATATATGTCTACATACTTGCGAGCACTTGAAAGCGATGTCTTAGGGCTAGATTCATTTATTCCTGACGTCAATAGCTTAGAGTACGTCCAATTAAGTTTTCATAATTTCATTTTTTAAAACTTTGTTGACATTAATAATCTAATTTCATTTCTTTAGATTAAAATGTGAACAATATATAAGCAACAGTACTATGTTGAATCAACAAATCAAGTCGATTTTGACTTCAAAAATTGGAGAATATTTAAAAAATCTTGCAGAGTTGCAAATTGAAAATACATTATTAATGGCTGATTACAATATTCAATCAAAGTATCAAAAATCGTTAATAGATAGATTTAATTTGGTATGATGAAAGATTCCTTCTTGATTATTTATTTGTATTAATTTTATTGATGTTTAAATAATGATGTAGGTGAACGATATTTTATTATCTCAATATTCGCGTACTCAATTCATCTCTAAGGCCCTCAATCTCGAATTAGATGATCAAAAAACCATCTATAGATTGTTTTCTGATGTAACAAAGGAGCTAGAACATCGCAGGAATTGTTTTACTGCACAAAAAGTATTTTATTTTTATATCAGCATATTCGGATTTTGTATCAGTTTATAATAGATATCTAATGAGCAGAATTTAATAGTCACTTATGTCTGCAACTGATTTTGTGGAGCCAAAGATAGAAAAAACGGTTGTAGGAAGTAACGATAATTTATTATTATCCATGAACAGATTAATGAACTTGGAAATATGTAAGTTTTTGTTTATATTTATTTTAGAAATCTAATATTTATTATGAATTTAATGGTGTTTTATCCACCTGAAGTGAAAACGAGTAGTTTTTTAAGATATTCAGAAGAGCAATCCTCGTCTTTTATTACATACGATTGTTTAAAAGAAAAGATTACCGAAATTGATCAAACAAGAAACAACGTATTGTCTAAAGTGAATGAAGAATTGGTGGCACAACAAGAATTTTCCAAATCTTGGTACGTGTAGTTAGATCCTTTAGGAATTTAATTCGTGAATCATATAATTACTTTATTAATTTTGGTTTTTCCATTCTTTCAGTGGTGGAATTGAACAAGTTTTGACCTCTATACTTTATAAAGATTCCAAGACTTTAGATCTTATATTTACGCCTAGAGTATCTATCATAATTTTTTCACTCAACATTGACCTGTCCTTTTTTTTTTTTTATGAAATAACATAATATATTTTTATAGGAATTTTCAGACATTCAATTTTCTTTACTTTCAATAACCAATCGTCTGAAGCCCAAATTAAATAAAATTTCCCAGGTATATTATAGAGTTTTTATCCATTTTCTAAAAAATTTAAACTAAATAAAATTTACGGCTTTTTTCGCTTAGGATTTGGACTCTTTGCGAAGTAGCAAACGTTAGTGAGCCTGGCTAACGATAAAAAAATTGGTTAAAGCTAATTCTCGGCTTAACCGGTCGATTTTTTTCAAAATCGGCAGATCGATTTCTATGATAATAATATTCACTTATAAGCTTTTGATCGTTTACAAAAAGTTTTTTTTGTATATATATCCTACTTTCTCGTGTAACATAAAATATACTGTGCGAGCGCGAGTAATGAACTCAAATATTGGATTTAAATCAATGAGAAGTGATACAATATTTTAATTATTAAGATTTCTAATTAGCGCTAGCCATGAAATATAAACCTTAGTAAAACCGTAATACGGTATTATTGACAGAAATATGGGGTTCTCTCTAGACTTTTGGATTTTCTAACATTCTAATAAAAAGAATAATTATGTGGGCTTTTTTTGTAATGCTTTTAGATTCGTATAAGGTCTCGAAAATTTAATATTCAAGATATCATTGATACCTGAGTTTCGTCCTGATTATAAATACTGCTTCACTAATTGCAGATTTTCATGGACATTATAAATATGTTACATTCTTCTTGGCTTAATTGACAGGCGAAATTATGTTGTGTTTTCTTCATCTGTATCTATCATGTCAATCATTGTTTTGTATTTAACTTTGCATTGCAGTGAATTATAAATAAATAATGATTTCGATATAATTATGGATTTTTTGATTGCAACCTCATACAGAATGAGAGAGCAATAAAATCTTGTTCATGTAACGCTGTCAAAAGTTAATATTTGTCATCGAGAAAAGAACTTTGAAAATGTATACATTATTATCAAAAGGGTATTACCGTTACAGATGGGCAATAGATCATGTTACCAAGTTTCGAATTTAATTTGTTTTCGATTTCGAGTGATAGTGTGTTTTCATATCACATATCGAATGTTTAACCGGCTCGCACTTGTAGGTAGAAACACGTACACTTATTTCTGTAGAAAATACAGTAATACCCAAAAAGGAAAAAAAATCGTCGGTACGTACTTTACAATATTTGCAAAATGATATGGATAACCCACCCAGGTTGCCAAAACTCGCCCCGGCAAATCCGTCCCGCTCCCGTTTTTTTGTGGGTCGCTTTTATCAACGCGATTTATTACCGTACGTGTTCTATTAATATTCAGGTTAGCTGTAATTTTTCACCCCTGCAGCTAGCCTACATATCAGATATAAAAATGATAAATAACACGTATACGCGTACGTTCGTAAAGTACGCACGTAAGGATATTAAGTACGCACGTAAAGACATTAAAAAAAGTACGCACGTAAAGATATAAAAAAAATGCAAGACGTAGAAACTTTCATATTTGTCTGTTATAACTTGCGGCCGTCAGATCTTCTTTCGCTGGTATGCGTGTGCAAAACTTTCAAAAGTATTTTAGACGAAAATATCAACCCATTAGCAGAAGGAATCTGGAGAAATTCTAGAATGAAATTTACAATTTTTCGAGATATGGAACCACCATCAGGAATGAATCAGCATACTTTTACGAGGTTATTGACATTTGAAAAAGGTTGTCAGTTTTGTAAAACTAAAGAGAAAACGTTAACAATATATTGGATTCCTGGTGTTCGCTCTTGTCGGGATTGTATGTTCCCAAGAGTGTTTAGGTAAATTAATTTATTTTACATATATATATTTATTATTATTATTATTATTATTATTATTATTATTTTTGATAATAATTTGAAGCCGAATAAAATTTTATTAATAATATTTAATAGTTCACATATACTTGGATCAACTTTTAAGATCGATAATGAAGTTCTTGGACTTATTTTACCAGTAACACCAAGCATTGATTTACCAGAATCTAAGCATACACATTATTGGATCGATCATGTTAAGAATGTTATCGCGTTTCTTATGAATGCTGATGATAATATGCGACGCGCGTTAAATAACTTAAGAAAAGATGTCGGAAAGAAATATAAAGAAACCAAAAATTATGAAAAATGGATGTTTAATTTACGTCAATTCTACCTTAGAGGACAAGATGATATTTTTTCAAGATTACATGCTGAAATTAATAGAGAAACTTTATTCAAGATGCAAGAAGATTATGAATACAAAAAATTGAAGACTGAAGTCCAGTATAATCCATTCTTAGTACAGGATTGGCAGCAATATAAATCAAGGATCCTACAAATCGCCCAAAGAATTGATAGGAATCTCACAAGCACCACTTTTCCACCCACAATGGTTTCATCAATCAGATCTGTAGATAAGATTACTCAAAAAAGAATTAAAATTGTTAAACGCCTAAGAAAAATAACATACGGTTCAAAGAGAATATCTCACTATCAAATTATAAGTATTTTCGATGTACTATATGTATATTTGCCAATATGCCCAAGCTTCGTAAACCCACCGGACCTTGAATATTCCCAAGAATTTTTTATGAGGAAACTTTTGCCATCGCTCAAGAGGGAAGCCAACCAACTTTGTGCATCCAGGACAGCCCCTCCACCATATTTTCTCGAAATAGATGGGGCGTTAAAAGTTGGTGGTCTTCGAGATCAACTAGTTTTTGAATGTCGTCTTTGCGATACACTCCCTCTGAGTAATATAAAAAAAGTCAGGTTACATATTAAAGGTGTTCACGAACTTGATGATAACTTAAATAATGTAATTTATGCTACGAAGGTGAACTGTGACGCCGTACTTACGAACTTGTTTCACGCTTTTTTCTTACACAAAAATTGATTTACGTATTTACGTAGGGTAAAAATTTTTTTTCCTTTTTTTTTTTGTTAGCTTTTTTTATTTTTTGTTAGCTTTTTTTTTTTGTTACGTAGCTTTTTTTTTTGTTAGCTTTTATTTTTTTTACGTAGCTCAAACTTAAATCGAAAATTCATTATATAGACAGTTTTATTTTAATAATAAAGTTATTACTGCACAATGCTGATTATACGTATAGTTTAATGGTACGTATGATCTTTACGCGAGAATGGTTAAATTTGTAAGATCAGTACTGTACTGTAAAATTTCGTTCTATGTAATTAGCTACAAGAAGCTATAATGCTTAATTACGCTAAATTTACTTTATGTTAGCTGTCAATAAAGCAACTATAGATTATGTGAATTATTTATTGACAATCGAAAACTGTGTCTTGGGTAAGTCTACGATAGAGTTGGGTAACGAAACCCGAAACTATATATAAAATCCCGAAACCCTTTCCGAAACCCCGAAACCTTTTCCGAAACTTTATACTATACTAAAAGGGTTAGAATTTATAATTAGATTGTATTTCAGAAATATTTTGGTTACTTTTTAGTAAATGTGCATTAGTTATTAACATTCTAATTTTAAGGTTTCGGTGCCCAACTCTAGTCTACGGTTTTTTTTTCCTGCGGAACTCTAATCTTGATTCTGCATTAATGAATCTGTTTGTTTAGAGCTTGAACGTTAATGGTTAGCAAGATGTGATATTTTATTATTGCAAGTAAAAAATGATGTGGATTTATTTTAGTTTCCGATAACAAAGAAAACTAAATGTATATACGATTTCCCTTTAAATGAGTAATAGATGTAACTAATTAAATGTAAATGTTGCTTCGCATCTCTTATAATTTATAATAAGTTATAATTAAAATGATGTACTGCTAAATAAATGCATATTGCTTTTAGTTGCCTATCGCTTGTATATCTCTTTTTTAATTAAAGACTAAGACTTTTAATAATTACAGTATGGTGGAAAAAATAATTGCGCAAAATTTGATCTTAAAATACATTTTAATAAATAAAAATCCGACTATAAATATAATTTGGGTACTTAAATAAAGATCAATTTTTACTATTTTGTGAAGATATCATTAAGACTTTATTATCTTATTAATTTAGTATCATAAAAGCGATGAATCATTTTCAATTTCAATTACTTTTTGAAGCCTTAGATTCAATTGAAATTGAATCTGATTCAGGGTGTTCTCAAGCGTCATTCTGATGTGATAAGCAAGTGATCGCAATGGCATTCAAGCAAAATTATATTTACATAAAAGTTTTATTGAGAATTCGAATATGTGATTTATGATTAATTAAAATTTTCTCAAGCATCATCTTCGATGTGATTAATTAGTGATCGTAATGGTGGTACTCATTTAATATAATCAATTAAATAAACATTGCAATCAATATTTGAGCGGTTCTTTTATTATTCGTCAAAAATAAATGAAAAATAAAAAAACGAAAAATAAAAAAAACGAAAATAAAAAAATAAAACTAACTTTAAACAAGAAGCAAATGCTGTGAATTATCGAAAATATTCTGGCAAAGCATCAACTTCAGCAACCCCTGTTGCTCCGTTTACTGACTTCAATTATAATATGTTATTCCAACAACAATATCCCGCCTTTCCATTTTTTATGAAACCATTAGTTGTAAATAAAGCTACTGTTGAATACAAAGAGGTTTAATAATAATTTTTGTTTTTTTTTTGTTCAAAGACGTAGTTGATCTTGTTGCCATATTGGTAAAAGCTAGGAGATGATAAGTATCGGCTATTGTTTTTTGAGCCTCTTGATTTTTTTATCGTTCATAAAAACGTTTAGTGCGAGAAGTAAAATAATGATTCGTTGCTGTATGTGATGATTCATGGCAATGTTACTTGTGTGGACTTTTTGAAAATTCAATTGATTGTAAAATTTTCAAGACAGGTATAAAAAAAAGAGGTTTGTTGTAAAAAGTTTGTTGATTTAAATGACACATTCATTTCAATATTTTTATTAATAATTATTTCCCGCTAAATAAATTTTATTTCCGACGCTTTTTGCCCCATTGATTAAGGGACTTGAGATCAATTTTGCATACATAGCATATGGGTTTTTGCCTTTGAAAATCACGTTATGGAACATATAATTTACTATGTCCCATAACGTGATTTTCAAGGCAAAGACCCCATATGTGTTTTATGAAATTATTTATTTATTATATTGTATTGATGTATATTAACTTGCATGAGTTCGAGAATTTTTCTTGGCAAAAGTGATTAGCGTGACAATTTTTACACGTACTTGCCTTTTATTTATTTTTTAGTTGCCTCAAACAAATATTTTTTATAGATAATTTTAATTGAATTAAGAGAATTAATGTCACGGGGTTAATCGATATAGGGTAAGCTATACCGAATATCCGGTTCAGGGTTATTTTAATACGATTGAACACTCACTCGCTTAATTATTTGTTTTACAATTGGGATAACGATGACAAGTTTCTATGTCAAAAGGTATTTTTCTTTATTAGGGAAATTACTTATGTGGGAGACCTTTATTTCCCTTGCTTACAACTTATTATTTTTACACAATTATTACAACAATATTTCATTGTTCCGTTTGCATAATTATCTATCGCATTACTTATTTACTACGACATTTTCAATTATTCGTTAAATTAATTATATCAATCAACCGTCACACAAGTGACAATTAATCTAACAAAAAAAGCATTTTTAAAATGTGTATAGTAAAAATCTTTCTCTAATATTTGTAATAAAGTTATATAAATTAATGTCAAACATGGAAGATTTATCTGAATTAGATTTATCTTGAGGCTGATAACATAAAGTTAAAGCGGATTGTAGAAGAGAATACTGTACTTAAGACAGATTCGAGGAACAAGATAAAAAAATAAACCAGATATTACGAACCTTATAAATGAAAATACTGAACTCAAATCTAGAGTTTCGAAATTGGAATAAAAATTATAACAAAATGATAATGTAAAGGGTAACTTTATTACCAAATGATGTTATATTATAAGTGCTTAAAAAATTTTTTTCATAGTAATTTTTAATAATTTTGCGAAGAAAAATACTTTGTAATAAATGTTTTATGATATTAATTTAAAAATTTCTTTAAAGGTAGATATATATTTTGAGCTGAGGAATAAAGTATGATCGTTTAACTGATATTTTTTTTTTATTACTCAGTTACCTAAAATTTTGTCACCAAGTGTTTTTAATAGGGATGGGCAATACTGTATAATAGTTATAACAATTTTTACTTGCATCCAGAAAATGAACCTGCAAGTCTATAAGGTGCTTAGTTGGCCAATAAAATTTTTTTATATTATTAAAAATTATATTATCGTATATTATTATTAATGATTTTTTAAGTCTACTGGTTCCCGATTGACTGTAATATTTAAATATTTAATACTAAATAGAGCTATCAGAAATAAATTTTGTTAGATGAAATTTATTGAATTTATTGAATGCACTAAGAACATTACTAACGAAATATTATTTGTCATCAAAAACAAAATTTTCATCAATGATCAGTGATTACTGTAACCGGTTATTTTGAACAGTTATTTGACTGGTAATTTGACATATGATCATGAGAAATAGCCAACAATAACTAATCGATGACTGACTGTAACTGACCATGCTTATTCAAAGCCTAAAGACAAGGATAAAGACAAGTACGCTTCATCCCGTCTTTTCAGAATAGGAACTTCTCATTAATATCTATGATACACAAATTAAAACTTCGTACATTCTTGTGGTGGCTTTCGTTCTGAAACGTTAGCCTTCATGCATTATCAATAGGGTTCAAATTTGGGGATTGTGCTTGCAATTGAAGACTATATATTATCGCTTCTCATGTTTTTTTGCTTAAAATATTTTTATTGTTTTTGTGTAACCTTTTGAACCGACTATACAATTTGGAAACTACATTAATTTTAACATTTATTGAGAAGCTTTCACTTAAAGTTCGTAAACATTAGGCAATGAACGCTGAAAACTTTTATTGTCGCTTAGCCAAGCTAACAATAATATCAAGTACGCTAATTGATGTTATGATAGATATGAATTTTTTTGGAATTGTTATTTCTTAAGTTGCGATTTTAAAAAAATAAATATTTAAGTAAATTTATCGGATTTTCTTGCGATGGACGATGCTCTGACGGTCATAATAATTTGCAAAGCACAATAAAGTTGATTATATATAAACCAATTCAGTTTAAAAAAATCCAATGCCAAAATATTATCTAGCCTCAAATTTATTTAAGTAACACATACAGTAAGTGTAAATTATTAATAATAATAATAATATTATTATTATTACCTTTCATTTAAAATTTTTATAAACATTTTCAAATGAAAAAGAGATAGTGATCAAATGTATACTATTATAATTCTGCCTGGATTCGTATTTTAGTCCTAAATCAACAAATCTTTTAACTAAATGATCTTCAATGTGTTTTCCCATATTATCTAAGATAACACGAGTCTCATAATACATAAATTTAGATGTGCAAAAATTTCGTAAATCTGGTAAATCATAATAATGTCTCTTGCTGTTATCTGAACCATCAATAGACGTAAGAATTTTATTACCTTTAAATTCTAATTTGATATAATTTATAAAATATTTGCAACAACGAATGATCAATTCTTCAAAAGCCAAAATTAAGGTATTAATATTATTTCTAATGGTTTCTAAAACTGATGAACAAATTACTGTCGGTCTATTAAAAGGGATTTGAAAATAATCAAGCTCTTCTTCAAGTTGTTTATAAGTAAAATTTCCAAACTCAGTGGGCAATGTAAGTTTTCCGGTTCGATAGAATTCCAATATATAATAAAATGCTTCACTGTTACGATCAAAAAAATATTCATTTCCATTAATTGGATGTCTCATACATTTATTTCGATCTTGAAACATTGTTCCAAGTAAAGTTGTTGGCTGCGCTGTAAGAGTTGATTGAAAGGTTTCATACTATGAAATAAATAAATATATATTTATATAAACATACATACATAAGTAAAAGGGCATTTTAAATTTTGTAATATTTAATACAATACCTTTTTTCCTCCAACATTTAAAATAATCTTTTGTTCCGATGTGTTAATTGGGGCTTGGATAAATGATATGTGAGCTTGTGCACTCTCAGATTTTAACAGTCTTTCAACCGGAGAAGAAAAGGTGATATTAATCTCAAAGGATTGATAACTAGTATTATTATATTTATAAATTTTTCTTAGACATTCCCATTTTAGTCCTAATTCGCAAAAGGTTTCAACTAGATACCTTTTAATTTGGTTTTTCGTATTACTCAGGATATCAAAAGCACATCCTTTAAATTGGTCAAACCGACTTTTTAGATTATTACTGCAATGTATATTATTATTATCGCTACGAATTTCTAGATAAATGCCTCTGTCAAAGTTATTTATGTAATGACTAATGATTAATTGTTCAAGACTTGAAATGAATTGACCAATTGTACTTATAGCAGTTTTTGATGCCAATGAAGAAAATATTTCCGATTTATTAATTTGAAAATAATCAAGTTCTTCATTAAGTTGTTGATAAGTGACTTGTGGCTCTTTGATTTCAGTGGTCCATAAAAGCTTTCCAGTTCGATAAAATTCCATTATATAGTAAAATGCTTCACCATTACGGTCAAAAAAATATTCGTTTCCATTAACCGAATTTTTAATGTATTCATTTTGATCTCGAAACATTGTTCCAAGTAATGTCTCTGGCTGAGCAGTGAATGTTGATCGAAGAGTTTCATACTATATATTTAAAAAAAACATAATATATGAGTAAAATATGTGCAAGTAAGAAGTAACAAAGGTTGTTGTTACACATTATACCCTAATGCCTCCAACAATTAAAATAATCTTTTCATCCGACATGTTAAGTGGGCTTGGGATGGTTTGTTTTTTTCAAGGCATGTACGTACGTACGTGCATACAGTACTTTTAAATCTTTTTTTCATATTTGTGTAACTATGGGCGTTCTCAAGCGCCTCAATAAATGGGTCAAAATATGTTAAAGAAATGTGTTGGGAATTAACGGAAAGTATTTTAATCGATCAATCGAGCTTAATAAGTAAAATAGTATATTAAGTGAAAAAAAGTTTAAATAGTAAAAAATGAACTGAGTTTACAATTTCAATTGAAAAACTTTTTGCTCCGACCCGCCTTTTTTTTTACGATGATTTATCAAAACATTATAATTATTAAAGTGTTAAAGTGCAATTGTGTTCAAGAGCATTTCCATACTTTTTATTATGGATTTTTATTATCGACATACATTTTTTGTAAAATTTCGATAAACTATTCAGAATCCTCTCAAGTAGTGTTGAGATCTTTATTTTGATCAATCGTGCAATTGAGCATAACTACAATTATTAGAAATCACTGTAATACCTGAGCATATCATTATAATATCGTCATTCGTATTATTGACTTTTATCTAAAATGGTATGATAATAGCTAAAATTACGTCATAATACTTATGCACAATTTCGATTACTATGAAATTGCATCTAGGTTGGTGCTTGGGAACACTCTATATGTGATGTAATATCGCGTCATTCTACACAACGATCGACGAGAGAAGCGAGAATTTGAAACTCTATGATTTAAAATTTACATTGGGTTATATCTTCTACATATGCAATAAAAAAATCAATTGCAATTTAATTAACTTAAAATGATAATTTGTATTTAATATGTCATGGAGTTTCACGAAGATACTTATACGGTAAAGCACAAAATTCTCATAAAAGCTTACAAACATTCTTGTCTTTTATATATAACCTGGTTTTTAATATCTAGGCGTGAATTTATAGTAAGGATCATACTTTCAAAATAGATCCCAATTTTAGCATTCGATGCAAAACCGATTATTTAGAGCAAAGATTAATAACATTCTTGTAATTCTAACTTTTTATAGGAAAGCAGTGTTCACTTTGAGTTGATGGATCGTTACCCCACCATGTTGGAAACTGTACCTGAATGATAAATGTATTGAGTTATACGCATAAAAAATTTTGAACTAAGTACATAACCTAGAAATATTAAATGAATAACTTACTTTCACAATACCATTAATACAAATGAAAGCTACCATTGTCATTATCTGTGCACCACTGTCAAATGCTGCGGACATTACATAATTATATCTATAATAAAAAATAAAAAAAAAGAGCGTCATTTCAAATATTTCAAATATTGAATACAAAAAAAAACTTACTTTTTCCACCACCTATGATAATCAAATAAGAAACTTTTATTTCATATACTGTACAATGTCGTTATAAAAAAATAAAAAGGAAATATACTTACATATGTTTATAACGAAATGCATAAAATTGACTCAAAAAGCCAGCAATGAACCCAGTGATTATGAAATTTGGATAAGTTTGAGGAAAAACAGATAGGCCATAGAATATTATTGGAAAATTAACAAGATTAAATTTTGCCTTTGGAAATTTTTGATGAAGTAAGTAAAATGGTATTGGCAAAAAGCCACCAATTAAGAAGCCCCAGAGAAGCACGTTATAAATTGAGCTAGACTGCCATAAATCATAAAAGTATGTATTAGATTTATACGTAAATTATATTTTCAATAATAAAGTATTATGACATAGTATATTCAAATTGTCATACCCCAAAAACCCTTCCAGGCCCAATTAATCTCCATATTATGGATGCAGTGTTGAATATTTCTGGTTGAAGGCCTGCCCACTACACACACAATTAAAAATATTTCTTAAAAAAGAACAATGATAAAAAATATATATATATACTTGGCCAGTTGGATCAACTTCTGTACCATCAATATAAGATCTTTTTGTATTTATTACAATATTTGTTGTCCAATAATTTACAATTATGCCAACAAATGTACCCCATATTTGTGATATGAACATGCTTCTTGGAGGAATTTTCATATAATGACCTTTTAATAATGAATAAAATTTTGATAACTATATTAAAATAATGTCAGCAATGATAAAATTTTTCCTAAAAAAAGAACATACCCAATTTTAAATCTTGTACAAATAATAAACATTGAGTCAAGGATATGTGTCCATAGGCTTTAAAATATACATTTGCAATAGGATAACCAAAACCGCACACCAATTCAGTCAAAACATTCAAACCAAGTTGCCAATTTGAGACAGCCTGAATAATTCCTATTTGGTAAGCAAGAATATTTGAGATAAATTTTTTAAATCAGAGATTTGAACATAAATACTATACCTATCGGAAGCACCATAAATATAGCAAGAGCAATAGCCAACAGTACACCCCACCAAGGTAAATTTACTTTATAGCCAAGGATAATTGCGATTATTAACATAACAAAGAAAATAGCAATATACCAATAATATGGTACTTCTATTGTTAATAAAAAAATTGATAATACGTATAGACCATGTCTTTAATAAATTTTTTTTTTCTAAATAAATCATTAGAAATACATAAATGAAATGAAAAATATATTATAGAAACCTGGATAAATACTCATCATTTTGCAATGAATGTCAGTTTCTTCCTCTTCCTCACGAGTTTTTTTGTATCGATTCCAAATTTCTTTCCCATGAAATAGTATCACATGACAAATAGTTGCGGTAACTTGCATAAAACTATAACAATAACAAGCAGCAAATACAGCAGACATATAAACAGGACTATAATTCTCATATGAGGTAACATCAAGAACTCCAGTCACGGGATCCATGATTCTCGTCTGGTTATATCTAATATATAATATATATATATATTTATATTATTTACATAATTTAATAGGTTTAATAATTTAATCAATCAAAAGAACTATACTTACATGTTTCCATCTTTATCAAATGAATGAGATGATAAAAAAGGAAATTTTTGGGCGTCACTAAATAAATAACAAAAAAATTAAAAAATATTCAACAATTCTACAAGATAAAAAATATTCAACAATTCTACAAGATAAAAATTATATAACTACTTACAAGATATTGTTAAAGTACAGCAACGGACCAATGACCCATATTGCTAAAACGATACCGATATAGCAATTTACTAGAGACCACCTTAATAGTAAAATAAACCAAATAAATAAATAATAAATAAATAAATATAAATAAATATAAAATATAGCACGTGGGAATATAGACGAAAGTTACCATGGAGTGAACAAGGGATCGACTTGACCAATAGCGTTCCAATCTAAGGAAACCCCAAGAATTCCAGCACCTCTATAAACACTTCCCAATGTCTTTACCGTATTATTATTTGGAGCAATAAGGCATAATATGGCAGCACCAGATAACCATGGAAACATGTACTCTGGTACAAACTGCCAAATGAACATTGAAATAAAAGCGATATAAAAAAATCGAATTTTATTTTTTGTTTCTGAATTATGTAACGTATTGTACATGGCAGCGAAGACAAGTGACTTGGGCCATATCATGTTAGCTGGACGAACCAAATCTAAATTCATGTAATTAAAATGATAGCAGTAATTGAAAATTATTAATTGTCTGGGTGATTATATAATTATTTCAACCAATTATTCTAAATAGTTATTCTTGATAATTAATCGTTACTGATAATACATACATTTTCGAACAAATCCAGCGAGCCCATAACCAATCATTTGTGTGCTAATTAATAACATAAAACCAACCAAGAAAGTAATTCTAGTATTATAGAATAATTCTTGGATTGAGATAATAGCCTATAAAGTAAATTACGAAAAGATAAATAACAAAATCGTTGAGACAATATAATAAATAAATAAATAAAAGATAAATAACAAAATCGTTGAGACAATATAATAAATAAATAAATAAATAAATAAAAGGTTTAAATTATACCACAGCATATGCGCTTACACCACCAGCATTAGCTGCTGCAGCTATGCAAACGTGTTCCTTATAGTTAAAAGGACCTACAAATAGTTAATTACATACGACATTTATTATGAACAAAGATCCAAGCATAATGATAAATATTCGTAAAATGTTAAACCTGGGTTTAAATTAAATTCCCAATTTTTAATCCGAAATTTCTTATTTGGTAAGATTTTTTCCAACCATTTACCCATAATATAGGATACGAGTATCACAAAGAATACAGAATAAACTAGGCTATTTGCACGAAAAAAATAGCATACTGACACCGCAGCACCCAATGCCGTAAAAAACTACGTATTGATGCATAATTCGTAAGGAAAAGAAAATAAGCAAAAACAAACAATAACTTATTGCATGGATATAAGGTATATCTAGTCAGCCTTGTACAGTTTGAGTGTCCCAAAATATCCAAACTAATAATAATAATAATTAATCATAACTTGTGTAAAATTTTAAATAATAAATTCAAAGTGAAATAAAAATAGGATACATTAATGAAGTAACAAATAATGTTTGATAACTTGCTGCTGAGATCAATTCATTGTCAGAGTTATCTTCCAACTTTTTTTCTAAATTATTTTCTTCATCGTGAATTTTCTCTTCATCATAAATTTTCTCTTCATCATGAATTTTCCTCTTAGCATCGTTATTGATCGAATTTTCGGCGTTGTCATTTATATTATTTTCTGGCACCATTTTGAATCATGAAAAATAGAGGGAAAAACGTACTTAGTAAAGATTAAGTTTGAGTGAAAGTAACAATGCAGGTGATTGTATGAATATATACGTACGTACGTCCAGTTGGCTCACAAAGTTTAACACGATTGCAAATCAATTCATAATAATCGATAATCTAGGTTTTCCTATTTTTTTAGAAGTTCCATTTTTAATAACATTATTACAGTGATACATAAATTATTATGTTTTTGTGTAACCGTGTTAAGCTTTGTCGGCCGACCGTACATACGTAAATGGCATGCCTTAAATGACCATATACTGATATATTAAATGCTCAAAAAGTCTACCGCTACTGATAATGCCTAGAGTCACAGGATCGTGTAGATAAATTTTGGTAAACCATTTTCCATATTTGTATTGCCGTATTCCCTATGATAAACCAGGGTTGGAAATAGAGCCGCGAATGGAGCCAATGGATACTAGTTTTTTAAGCTCCATTGGTTCCATTGCCAACCCTGCTTCTATGTCGTTACTCCTTTAGTAATCTTTAGGTATCGTTGGCATTGTTATATATTCTTCGTTTTGATGAAACGGTGTTACAATGGTTGTGTATGTTGTGTCTCGAAGCGTGCGTGAAATTTGAATGGACGGTGCTACGATCGGTGGGAGCAATTAATAAAGCTAACTTTCTAATTGCAGGTTAAAGGGTTTCACTTTATTATTTTTTTCTCAAGAGCACAAATACAATAAAACTTTTAACAAAACTTTTAACAATGGAATTACACCCGAGCGTGTCTGCAATTAATAATGCACACTATTGTGAGCGATAATTGATCCCTTTTCAAGCTAAAACCCAGCCTATTTATGGGCGCTTTCAAGCAAAAATGTCGGTCCTTCCCCTGAGCCAATATCCATTGTCTGACCATTGTTGATAGTGATGGCTCATGAGTGTTTCATGGTTCGTCTCATGCTGCGTAGAGAACAATTAGAACAATTATAATATGAAGTGGTAAATATGTATCGATATATATTTGTCGTATCTAAAGTTACCATTTATCTGAAGTTGCAACTTTAGATATATAAAGTTGGCCTGACTAAAATTAAGCCCCTGAAATTAGATCTTCATACATATAATTCTGGTTAGGTGCAACTTTATATCTAAAGTTGCAACTTCAGATAGATAGGAGTTATTTACGCTTTCAATGAGAAAACAGAAAAATCGTAAATAACACAAGATTCTACTATGATAACCATAGTTTGACTTCTAAGCAAAAGTTTTCAGCACGAAATT